TTGCTAGGGCTTTCGCAGTCCTGCCAGAGGAGGGGCATATGGGGCTTTGTAGCAATGCAGATCCCGTGCTGCTGATGCGCTTTTGTTACTGCATAATGGATAACCACAGATATCACCATATCTCAGGGGATTACTTTAAACTTCTTTGGTGACTTGTTGTGTGAAAAGTGTCCTTTAAAAGAGAAGCTGAAATCGGGAATACATAAGCCTAGGTTATATACGTCAAATCCACCGGCCAGGGCAGGGTCGATGGCTGCAAGTTCTCTGCATCTAAGGACTGCGAAATCATGATGTTGTGGATTGATATGGACGCATCGGTGCGAGAGGGACCATGATTAGGCTTTACAATATTTTTTGAGCCTTTAAGTTTTTTGGAGCGTTCACTCAAGTGTGCCACTGGCCGGTCGCATTTGCTACCGTGGGAGCAAAAACTGACCATACTGTGAGACATCAGCAGCAACTGAAACCATGTCTGGAGAGGTGCGTTTGAAGAAACTGGAGAAGCTGATTCTTGATGGCCCGTCTCAGTCCAGCGGCCAGTGCTTCAGCGTGGAGACCTTGCTGGATATTCTTGTTTGTCTGTATGATGAGTGCAATAATTCTCCCCTTAGAAGAGAGAAAAACATCCTGGAGTTCCTAGACTGGGGTAAGACATATTTCATGCACTGCACGCCTGGTCTTTCACGCGTCCCGCACGTCAGTTGGGTAGCTATTCACTGTGACGTGCGAGAGGCAAACAAACTATTGTTTCATTGTCTGCCGTTTACCAGCTGCTTAACAGACTAAAGTTGCTGTACGGGAAAACTCATTGAGTTGTTTTCGAGGGGGGAACAGAAATGAAGATGACATCATCGCTGGACTGGTTTGTGCACGAATGTGGAATGTGAAGCTCACCTTAATGAGTCTTCCTGCTTACTGCTCAAAACAAGGTGGATACAGTGCAGTGGGCTTTCATTCTGACTTGGGCCACAGCTAAACAAACTAATTTATTTATGGCCTCTGTGCTTGTTCGGCAGCAGGATAGCATGCATATTCTTTTTTTGATGGCTTGACTGTTCTGTACATATTATTGTTAATGTTTATTTTGGTGTTTAATGTGTTTAATTAATTCTCAGGCAGTAGCTAAAGGTGCACTCAGTAATGTTTTGCTAACTTTTAAAGTTTACAAATGAAAAAGACTCCAGAGCAATCAGTCTTAAAGAAAAAGCTGGTTTATTCACATGACTCGGGTCTCTCCTTCATGGACGCCGGCATGTTGAGATCACATGACCAGCTGTGTCACGCAACTGACCGCGTTACTATGAATAATAATGTTTTCTTTCTATACAGTTTTTAGCCAGTGCTGAAGGCACTTCATAAAGCATAAATGTTCATCTAAAAAAAAAAAAAAAA